CTATAACTTGCAGAGAACAGCATTGAAAGCCAACCTCTGTAGACTATTCTGTATTTACAAGACTACTTTGTGTAAGACACACTTTCTCATATATTGTATATTTAGCAGTTATATAGGTGGTATGTCCCCAGGTAACTTTTGCCTGGAGAGAATAACCGTGTGTTAGTAAGTGAGTCTGTAGCAGGAAGCACTGATCTACACTTCTTCTCTGAAGTCCCAGAGAGCAGTGAAGAGGAGATAAAACCTTCAAGCTTCTGATGAGTTTCAGGTTGTTGCCTTCAGCCAGGGTCAGCTGCTTCATGAGGCACGGGGCACAGTCTCCTTTGCAGTGCAGTGACTTGGGCCCATCAACTTTTAGGGGCTTTTGAAAGCATTTTTAATTTTGGTTTATTTTAAAACCAGAAGAGGGGAATTCCCTGGTGACCCAGTGGTCAGGACTCTGAGCTTTTACTGCTGAGGGCCAAGGTGTGATCCCTGATCAGGGAACTGAGATCCCACAAGCTCACAAGCTGCTCCATGCAGCCAAAGATTACATTTTTTAAAAAAATAAAAAAAAAAAACAAAAAGTGAATAGGATGATAATGAACATATGATAATGAAGGCAGCCTCGATTACGTTTGTTTTTATACCAATCAGTTCAGTTCAGTTGCTCAGTCATATCCGACTCTTTACGACCCCATGGACTGCAGGATGCCAGGCCTCCCTGTCCATCACCAATTCTAGGAGTTCACTCAAACTCATGTCCATTGAGTCAGTGATGCCATCTGACCATCTCATCCTCTGTTGTCCCCTTCTCCTCCTGCCTTCAATCTTTCCCAGCAACAGGGTCTTTTCAAATGACTCAGGTCTGATTTCCTTTAGGATGGACTGGTTGGATCTCCTTGCAGACCAAGGGACTCTCAAGAGTCTTCTCCAACACCACAGTTCAAAACCATCAATTCTTTGACGCTCAGCTTTCTTTATAGTCCAACTCTCACATCCATACATGACCACTGGAAAAACCATACCTTTGACTGGACGGACCTTTGTTGACAAAATAATGTCTCTGCTTTTTATTTATTTATTTATTTTTGTCTCTGTTTTTTAATATGCTGTCTTGGTTGGTCATAACTTTTCTTAGGACTGACTGGTTTGACCTCCATGCTGTCCAAGGGACTCTCAAGAGTCTTCTCTAGCACTACAATTCAAAAGCATCAATTCTTCAGCTCTGCCATGGGCAATGTTGAGACACAGGGTAAGGGTGTACCAGCCAGAGGCAAGAACCTGGAGAAACAAAAGCCCTGAGGTGGGGAATCTTAGGCATTTAAAGAGCTAAAGGGAGGTGGGGATAGGGTCACCAGAAAGAATGGTGGAGGAAGTTGGAAAGAGGACTAGACCACCAAGGGCCTTGTAAACCCTGCTGAGTTAGGATGTTTTCTTATTACATAGAGAAAGGTGTGGGAGAGTTTTAGGAGAGGGAGTGATATGACCTGAATTACAATTTTAAAAGATTAGTGTTTAGCTCTGCTGAAAAATATACGGTGGGGGGTGGGGCAATCAGAAGGAGCAGTCTGGAGGCTCCCGGGTGATGCCGGCAGCTAAGGGGGTACTAAACGTCAGAGGCTGCTGGAAAGATGGAGGGATGGGGGTTCAGAGGGGACCTAGTGGTTGGGGGGCTGCTGAGGGAGGAGTGGAATCAGGACAGATGATAGATGAGGTGAGGGTTGTTGTTGTTGGTCGCTCAGTTGTGTCCCATTCTTTGCGACCCCATGGACTGCAGCATGCCAGGCCTCCTTGGCCTTCACCATCTCCCGGAGCTTGCTTAAACCCATGTCCTTTGAGTCAGTGATGCCATCCAATAGTCTCAGTTGTCACCCCCTTCTTCTTTCAATCTTTCCCAGCATCAGGGTCTTTTCTGATGAATCAGCTCTTTGCATCAGGTGACCAAAATGTTGGAGCTTCAGCATCAGTCCTTCTAATGAATATTCAGGATTTATTTCCTTTAGGATTGACTGGTTTGATCTCCTTGCAGTCCAAGGGACTCTCAAGAGTCTTCTCCAACACCACAGTTCAAAAGCATCAATTCTTAGGCAGGATAGAGGTGCTCAGCTTTTTTTATGGTCCAACTCTCACATCCATACATGACTACTGGAAAAACCATGGCTTTGACTATACAGACCTTTGTTGGCAGAGTAATGTCTCTGCTTTTTAATAAGCTATCTAGGTTTGTCATAGCTTTTCTTCCAAGGAGTAGTAAGAGTCTTTTAATTTCATGGCTGCAGTCACCATCTGCAGTGATTTTGGGACTCAAGAAAATAAAATCTGTCACTGTTTCCATTGTTTCTTCATCTATTTGTCCTGAAGTTATGGGACTGGATGCCATGATCTTACTTTTTTGAATGTTGAGTTTTAAACCAGCATTTTCACTCTCCCCTTTCACTTTCATCAAGAGGTGCTTTAGTTCCTCTTCGCTTTTTACCATCGAGGTGGTGTCATCTACATATCTGATATTTCTCCTGGCAATCTTGATTCCAGCTTGTGCTTCATCCAGCGTGGCATTTCTCATGGTGTACTCTGCATATAAGTTAAATAAACACCTTGAGCAGAGGTGAGGGGGTTGCCGTTATTGAATGAGAAAGAAGACCTCTTTAAGACCTCTATTTGGATGTGTTAAGTTGGTGTGTTGATGCCATGTCACAGGGGAGATGCTGAGAAGAAAGTAGAGGAGTACCTGGACCTGGGGCTTCCCTGGACCTGGTGGCTCAGGTGGCAAAGAATCTTCCTGCAATGCAGGAGACCTGGTTTTGATCCCTGGGTTGGGATGATCTCCTGAAGAATAAAATGACAACCCACTCCAGTGTTCTTGCCTGGGAAATCCCATGGATAGAGAAACTTGGTGGGCTACAGTCCATGGGGTCGCAAAGAGTCAGACCCAACTGAGCTACTAACATACATACATGGGCTGGATTCGGGGGATGTCAAGCTTCGATGCTGGAAGTATGGGTGGCATCAGCATGCAGCTGGTATTAAAGCCACCAGCCTAGATGAGACCACCTGGGAACTGAAGAGGAAGGGCCCAGAACAATGACCTGGGTTCCCCCAACATTCATAGGACTGGTGGAAGGGAAGGATCAAGGAAGGAGGGGGCAAACTGAATGTGTGGTGAGGCAGAAGTCCAGCAGAGACTGCTGTGAGTGACCCCCGGCCAAGGCCAGAGAAGGTCTTTTAGGTTTGGTGAAGAAGTCACCCTGATGTAGGCAGTCTGAGTGGAGTGGTGGAAATGGAAGTTAAATTTGGGCGGGCCTCTTCCTTACCTGATCTGCATTAAAAAGTAGCTATGGAGGACCTTTGGGTGTCAAATGAGGAAATATGAAATGGACTTTGTATTAGATTATTGTGTCAGCATTCAATGTATTGGATGTGATAATGGTCTGCAGTTATGATACACGAGGGAAGAGGGCAGGGCACAACCTTTAGAAGAATGATGTAACCATTGAGGATACAACAAAAACTAATTAGAGCTGATTAGGCCCAAGATGGTGGGAGATTCGACTTCCAATGGACCTTGAGCCTTGTTGTACCCTCCCTGTGGTATGTCGTTGTTCAGTCTCTCAGTCGTGTCCAGCTCTTTGCAACCCCATGAACTGCAGCACGCCAGGCTTCCCTGTTCTTCACCATCTCCCAGAGCTTGCTCAAACTCGTGTCTGTTGAGTCAGTAATGCCATCCAATCATCTCATCCTCTGTTGTCCCCATATATTAGCATCCACATGGCACATTCAGACTTCCTGGGTGGTCCAGTGGTTAGGACTCTTCACTTTCAGTGCCGTGGACAGGGTTGAATCATTGGTCAGGGAACTAAGATCTCGCAAGCCAAGCAGCATGACAAAAAAAAACCTACCCCATATTTTGGGTCACTCTCGCCTTTTGAGGTAGATGGCATTCTGTCTGTGGAAGATGTATCTCTAAATATCCTCTTCTTACCTATGACTTTGCCTCTTGCTGAATTAGTTCTGCACTAAGACATTAAGAACCTAAGCTTCATTAAATCCTGAGACCAGATGTGCAATCTCAGTTAAAAGACAGTGGCTTCAAGTCCCAGTCTGAGTTTTGGCTGGGTTGGATGGAGTTCCATCTGAGTTGTGCAGTTTCAGTTATGTAAGAGAGGTCTCATTCTTAGGAGATACACGTTTTAGTGTTTATTGGAATGTTTAGGGTTGAAGGAGCAAAATGCCTGAAACTTTCAAGTGGTTCAACAATAGCAACAAATTATACATGTATATTGGAGAAGGAGATGGAAACCCATTCCAGTGTTCTTGCCTAGGGAATTCGACGGACAGAGAAGCCTGGCAGGCTACAGTCCATGGGGTCACAAAGAGTCAGACATGACTGAGTGACTAACACATATATGTATCTGTATGTATTATGTATAATATATATAAATCATTTGTATGTTATATATGGGCTTCCCAGGTAGCTCTAGTGGTAGAGAACTCACCTGCCAATGCAGGAGTCATAAGAGACTCAGGTTCAATCCCTGGGTTGGGAAGATTCCCCTGGAGGAGGGCATGGCAACCCACTCATTATTCTTGCCTAGAGAATCCCATGCACAGAGGAGCCTAGCAGGCTAATGTCCACAGGGTCACAAAGAGTCAGACATGACTGAAATGACTTAGCACGCACACCTGCATGTTATATATAGGTATGTGTATAGGTATATTATTTATTAGAAAGAGATAGCATATGTGGCAGAATGATAATTGGAAAATCTAGGTGAGGGGTAGTTCAATAGATTTTCAACTTTTCTGTAGGTTTAAATTTTTACTTAAATTAACGAGCTGGCAGGGCTGTGTTCCAACCCTGTTGGTTGTTTGACCTGAGGCATCCTGTTGGTTGTTTGACCTGAGGCATCCAGCACTGGTGCCTGCAGGCTGTGGGGTGGGGCCAGGTCTTGGTACCTCCAGGAGAGCTCATGCAGGTCTGTGTTCCCAGTACATTTGTCATCAGTCTCCTTGTCCCCACAATGAGCCCCGGTTGCCCCCACACACACACCCACAATTCCTGCGCTCCCCCCACCCAGGAGACCCTGTATGACCCGAAGTTTTTGAAGAGCTGGACGATCCACGTAGCAGGTCATTTTCCCTCAAATAATCTCTTTGATTTTGGATATGAAGTTCAACCACAGTGGGAATCTCATGACTAGACACTATCTGACCATCAGAATTTGGGATCTCAACAAGGAAAATCACCCCTTTGAGACTTACCTGGTTCACAACAGTAAGCTGTGCTCTGGCTTGGAAAACAATTGCATTTTTTAGTTGAGTGTGTGTGCAATGGGTCAGACAGTCTCATCACGACAGCTACTACAACAACAACTTGAGAATATTTGACTGAAACACCAACCACGATGTTATGCTTAAGGCCTCAAGGGAAAACAGCAAACCCCAAGCTATCCTAAAAAACAAGCCTGGGAGGCAAACAGAGAAAAGACATCAGTGTCAACTTTAGTAAAAAGTTCCTGGACTTTAGTAAAAACGATCTTGCTTACAGCTCAGCATCCTTCAGAAAATATTGTAGCAGTGACAAATAACCTATATGTATTCCAGTTATTACTTAGTAATCTCATATACTGAGTACTAGTTAAACATGTTCCTAAATGTTTCTTTGGATGTTCATTTGATGGATCAGCCTTATCTTCCCTCTGCTGGAAACAATTGGGAAAGAATTCCGCGGAGTTCAACTTTTCCAAATCCCCAGCTCTAAGAAACTTTGTCAAACCCAACAGGTTCTGGGACATTTCTGTTTAGAATTGAGAACTGTCAGATAACAGTAATTATTCCATAGCTGACTTGAATTTCTGATGCTTTTATTGCCCCATTTTCTCTGGTAGATCCAGTGTTTTGTTTCTAGGTGTCTGCAGAGATAAAAATGAGATCATAGTGTTTAAAGATAAAAAATATATGTTTTTTTGAATTAAGCAACTCCGTTTGATTGGAAAATTTCAACTAAAAATAAATACCCATTTACTATTTAAAAAAAAAAAAAAGAGTGAACAGCAGGTGAAGAGGCAGTGGAAACAGCCAAGTTGTCAAGGAGAGTTGTCCAGGTAATAGTACCTGTAGGGGACAGTGAGGTCAAGAGAGGGTTTATACCAAAACGTTTAAAATGAGAGCCAGCATAGTTGTTGACAGGAATGCCCCAGTGGAAAGGGAAAAATTGACGGTATAAGAAGGGGGTGGGAGGTTCTGGGTAAAGTCCTTGGGAAGGCAGGTGGGTGGCCCCAAGCTTGGAGGGGACACTGTGCTGAGGTGCTGTGCCGGGCCCTGGGGTCAGCGGTGGGGGGCATCCTTTTCTGCAGGAAATAGGGTCTGAGGTTCTCAGCTGACAAGAATTAGGAGGGGCAAGTAGTTGGTTCAAGATGATTGGGGCACAGAGCCAAGAAAAAAATGGACACATTTGTTGTTTTGTGTCTAAGATCTGAAGGGAGATTAAGGGAAGGGCCAACAGAGGAGAGCAGTTAAGTCCATACACCTCTGCTACTCAGTTTTTCTGTCTGTAATGTGAGGGGAACTGAACCAGGGGCTCTCAAAGGATGCTGCAAACTCCTGTCATACAAGGTCCCTTATGACCCCTGATGGGCTGCTTTCACTGAGTAGCACGTGTTTGGCTGGTTTAAGGATTCAAGATGGCTAGTAAAAATTGGACACTTGCCTGAGAGGTCTCTAATTGAGGGTAAAAGCCAAGAGGTAAGAGAGACACTTGAAGACTACTTAAGGCTTGAGGGCACCCCGGGGGAACAAGGGGGTGGCCCAGAGGTCGCTGGGGCTCTGAGATGCCTTGACAACGTGTGGGTAAACGCAGTACGAGGTCCCTTGGAGAGTAAATTCTGCTGTCTCCGGGCTCTCACGGAAGCTGGCATCGCACAGCGTGAAATGAAACAGCACATTAATGTGATTAACACTGAATAAACCTCTGTGTGTGAGCAAATATAGCATGAAGTGGGTTTAGGAATTTTAAAATACCTATTATTAAAGACAGCCTGCAGGGCTGCAGTGGCATCCGATGACAAGCCAGAGGCTGCTACCAGCATCTAACGTTCCCATAGTCCTTTCCTTCGGCAAAGTGTGTTTGCAAGCTTCTGTGCCAGGCTCTTCCCTGGTCCTCCCAGGGGGTTATCACCACTACCCGTTTTATAGATGAAGAAACTAAACGCATTGTCAGCAGTAGGTCTCTCACACCGTGGAAAGCAGAGACCATGGAGATCATCATCAGCTCCCCAGTGGCTGGCAGATCGTTGGGAAGGGAAGGAGCCTCCAGCCCCTGAGAGCCAGCCCAGCAAACTGTGAGCTCTGTGCTAGGACCTGCATGTCTGGCTGGCGGCTGAGCATCAGGCCCTGGGCTGCAAGCCTTGCGCAGATGGTCTCACTTAGTCCTGATGACAACCCTTGGCAGTGGGTATTATTAACCCCAAGAGGAAACTGAGGGCAGACAGGTTAAATAACTTGCCAAAGGTCACCCGGCAGAATTAGGGTTCAAGTTCAGATTTGTCTGAACTGAAGTTAGTGCTCTTGACTGCCAAACTGGACTGCCAAACTGCCAAGCTGCCTTCCAGGAGGGCACAGTATGGACTTCAGGAATTCTCGAGGCCCCTGTGCTGGAGAGTGGTCAGCACAGAGCTGAGCTCAGGTAATAGGATAGCACCAATGTCAGTGACTATTGACTGAGGGGCTGACAGTCTGAACGGTTGTATGAGTAGAGATATCTTGTGGGGTCTTCCTCTTCCAATTGATGATTTCCCCAAAGCTTATGAATGCTTAATCTAATCAAGGGGAAAAAGCATCAGAGAATCGCAAAGCCTTTCCTTTATTAACTGTCAAGCCCAATCTGTAAGCTGTTTACGTGCCAAGGTCAGAGATCAGACTTCAGCTGCTCGCCTTTCATTCATCTGGCAAAGCCCCAGAATATAAAGTTTACTGATGCAAATCTGATTGGCAGGCAGGGGTAACGAGGTGGCCGGGACAGGGAATATCTGAAGGAGTCCTAAGCCGCTCGGGTCAGGCCTGCTCCCCAGTGGTACTAACTCCCCAGGCCCCAGGTGACTGGCCATAGCTCAGAGCTTTCCACACCACAGTCTAGATGAACAGCACACATCTGGACCGCGGGCAGAGTTCACAGAGCCAGGCAAGATGGGGAGGAAAGGAGTCCTTTCTGGTCTCTTAGTCTGGAAAGGAGACAGTGAAGCATGGTCTTGAAACCACACAGATCCAAGGAATTCCTGTGGCAGCCTCCACTGGAGAGGCCTGGGAATTGGGAAGAGGGAGGCATTGTTACACCTGCAGCTTTTGGCCAGCCCTGGACTAAGTGGCTCCCTGTCTTTGGCAAGTTCCTGATGGGGCCTCCTCTGTGCCCATCAGCGAGGGGAGGTGGGGCAGCACACAGGAGTCCATGCCTGACTCTCTACCTGCAGTGTCCTCAGGACAAAGACCAGGAGGAAGGCCCTAAGTTCCAGAAGAAGGTACTGGACCCAGGGATTGGTGCTCATGCCGCTCAAGATGGGGAGAGGTCTCAAATATCATTTGTTCTTTTAAAAATATATTTATTTGCTTATTTATTTAGCTGTGTGGGGTCTTAGCTGTGGCACATGGAATCTTTCGTTGCGATGTGTCAACTTCTCTTTAGTTGATGCGCTCTGGTTCAGTAGTTGCAGTGAGGGCTTAGTTGCCCCGAGGCATGTTAGTTCACTGACCAGAGACCAAACCTTCATCCCCTGCATTCTTAACCACTGGATCATGGAGTGAAAGTGAAAGTAAAGTTGCTCAGTTGTGTCCAACCCTTTGCGACCCCGTGGACTGTAGCCCGCCAGACTCCAATGAGATTTTCCAGACAAGAATACTGGAGTGGTTTGCCATTTCCTTCTCCAGGGGATCTTCTCAACCCAGGGATCGAACCCAAGTCTCCCGCATTGCAGGCAGACTTTACCATCTGAGCTACCAGGGAAGTTGGATCATGGAAGGAGTCCCTCAAATATTACTCATTTTTATCAGGACCAAACTGAATTTTGCATCATCTGAGAAAAAGCCCTGACCACAGGTCATTTTAAAAGATTTTTTAATCTCTACAATTCAGTAATAGTGGTTTTCCACAGCAGTCAGCTGTCTGGATTTAACCCCCCAACACTTACACATCACAAAGCAAAAAAAATAACAAAATTAAACAAACCAAATCCCCAGGCCTCGTTTTATTTCCAGTCCAGGTTCAAGGTCTAGTCTGAGCAGCAAATGCCTCCTCTCCTGGTCTATTTCTGGACAGGCAAGGGGGCAAAGTCCCTCTTCCTCTTCTCCATGACAGGGCCAGGCCTGGGTTGTGCAAAGCTCCAGAGAGGAGTGCCCACCGAGGGCAGGGCTGGGCCAGGGCTCCAGTGGCCATGACCTCTCTCGAGTCCTGTCAGTGAATGATGAGCAATTGCTACCATGGGCCACTGGGATAGGAAGATGATTAACACAGGATCCCAGAGACCCACACACAAACCACTAACCATAGTAAAAACCAATAAACGCTCTCTTTGTAGTAGGAATAAAATGTCTCAGGCGCACAGGGAAAGAAGGGAGAGGGAGAAACTTCGGTGTTTCTCAAAGTGGTTCCCAGACCAGCAACCTCAGCGTCACCCAGAAGTTGTTAGAAATGCAAATATAAGCCCCAGCCCAGACCCACAGAGTCAGAAATGCTAGAGGTAGGGTCCAGCAAGGTGTGTTGCAAGATACCCCCTAGGTGATCCTGGTGTTAGCTGCAATTGGAGAGTCATGCAGGGCCTGGCAAACTGCCTGTTTTTGCGAATACAGTTTAACTGGAACATGGCCACAGTCGTTCATTGCGGGTCATCAGTGACCACCTTCCTGCCGTGCTGGCAGGGTGAGACTCGCGGCAGAGACAACGAGGACTGCGAAGCCTGAGGGCCTCTGGCAGCCACGCTTCAGTCAGCTCAGTGCTGGGACCCAGCTCTAGTTTGAGGACTTCCTGAAAACACTAAACAGTCTATTTTAAGTGTGAGGAATATATATTAGTCACCACAGCTAGAAAGGTAGGTTTTTAAAAAATCAAATGAGGAAGAGAAGAAATCATAATTCTAGGGAAGCCCCCGCTTAGACTCCCTGTCCCACTCAGTGCTGTGCTGGATGCTTCAGGAAGCCTAACTACCCTTCTAAGATGGGCATTATTCCCCCCCTTTAAAACATTTTTATTTATTTATTTTTCACTATGCTGAGTCTTTATTGCAGTGTGGACTTTTCTCTAGCTGCGGTGCATGGACTTATTGCAGTGGCTTCTCTTGTCGCAGAGCACAGGCTCCAGGGCACGCAGGCTTCGACTGCTGCAGTGCTGCGTGGGCTCAGCAGTTGTGGCGCCTGGGCTCTAGAGCAAAGGCTCAATAGCTGTGGTACACAGGCTCAGTTGCTCCGCGGCATGTGGAATCTTCCCTGATCGGAGGTCAAACCCGTCTCTGAGGCATTGGCAGTGGATTCTTTTCCACTGAGCCACCTGGGACGTCCCATCATATCCCCTTTAATAGATGAGAAAGGGGAGCTGGGACGGTGAAGTAACCAGCTCAAACTCATGGAGCCCAGGGGAGGAGAGCTTGGACTGGCCCCTGGATCAGCTCAGGCTCTCTGCCTCACACCGACCACCTCTCTTTTCCCAGTTATAAGATGGAAACTCCCTCAGTGGGCAGTCGGGGCCCCTCACAGGAACATGTTCACGTAACAGGCACAACTTTCATACTTTTTCCAGTGGAGGAGGTGAGCCACCAGGGGCTGGAGAACCAGGCCCAGGGCTACTTCCAGGGGGTTCCAGTCCTGTGGGGAGCACAGCGAGAGGAGGGCAGGAGCTGCAGGGTCCACAAGGGCGCAGTTCCAGCCGAACCGGGCAGGTGAGACCGTTCAAGCGCTGAATGAGTGCCAGGTGGGGGGCAGCCTCTGGGCACTGTGACCACCGAAGGCCTTCCAGCGCTGCCCCTGCCCCACAGACCAATCCGCAGGTCCTCTGTCCAGCTCCTGCATCATCAGGGTGGGGGTGTGTATAAAGGCCCCAGGGAAGGCCTTGGTAACTGAGGTAAGTCTTGTATCTGTGAGAAGATAAAAGAACCTATCAGGGTATTTCCTGCTCTGATACAGGAGTGGAGTGGATCCGCTGGTCAGTGAGATGCCAAGTCCCTAATCAGATTGGGGAACCTGTTACGATGTGATGTCCTCACTGGTGACTGAAAGAGCAAAAGTAAAATCTTGCCCTGCTACCACAGAAGAAATGCGGGAGCTAAAACACCGCCATCTGGGCGGCTCAGTGACCAAGCAAGCCTGTCCCCCACCCACACACACACTGTCTATTTTGGTTTCCAAACATTTTGTTAGAATAGGAAAGCAAAAAACATTCTTGACAAACAAAAGAGCTTGGTATGTCAGGCAAAGGTGATGAAGGCAAGCATTTTGAGAAGACTAGTGACCAACTGCTTTCGCTAATCAAATCAGTATGGTTCAGTTATTTTAAACAAGCATCATCAGAGTGTCTTCAGCATGCCAGGCACTACACTAATCTTTCTGTTTCTTTTAAAGTAGCATTTTTCATATCTTTTCTCTATTATGCATTGCATTAAGATCAGAGGCATTTACTTCTTTAGTTCTTTTTCTTTTGGGGGGGGCCTCAATGAGCCACTTGTAGGATCTTATTTACCTGATCAGGGATCGAACCTGGGCCCTCAGCAGTGAAACTGTGGAGTCCTAACCACTGTACCACCAGGGAGTTCCCCACACTAATCTTTCTGAACCTCGGTTACTTCATCCCATCCTCACATCAACTCTGAGGGGCAGGTCATGTGAGCAGCCCCATTTTATGAGGTGAGGGAGGGGTTCAGGCAGGACACTTGGCTGACCCTCACTAGCACGCATGGTAGAGCCGAGTTTTGAAACCAGGGCTTGTGACTCTGCACCTTGTATTCCTTTGACAGCATCACATTTACTCCGCAAGTAAAAAGTAAATCTGAACAGAGCACAGGAGCCCGGGAAAAGACAGGACCCAGAGACTGTGGATGGCTTCGCACTGAGATAGCATTTATTCAGGCACTGGTTCTTGGAGCTGATGGAACCACACTCCCACTGATCCATTGATAAGGGCTACTGGGCCACTGTGTAAATAGGCATTGTCACAACAGGCCATGTGCCGGGCCAGCTGTACCAAAACCCTGTTTCTTTGTTGCCTAAACTATTGTTTCAGGGGAAAGTTGCCTCGAAAGAATAATTTCATTTTGCATTTACAAATGGCACTTTTTTTTTCCTTCAAATTTCAGAAGACTATAGAGTGTTAACTGATTTAATCCTTAGAGCAAGCCTGGGAGGAGAACAGGTGTTAGTTCCCAGTTTGATAGAGGAGGAAGTTGAAGTAATTTTCCAAAAGTTTTATGCTAATGAATACTAAAGTAGAGTTTTTAAATGTGAGGCCTCACCAGGATACCTGCAAAACCAGAGAACACCACTTGGGAGACTCCATGATGATGGACGAAATCAACTAAGAATGTACCAGAAGCTGCAGGGTTGGCTAAAAATGGGTGATCCAAATTTCTAAGGAAATGTAAGCCTAAATATAAATTGTAAGCCTATATATAAACTGTGGTTTCAGGAGAGGTGAGTCCAAGAGAAAGAAGTCAAGAAAGCAGGGTTTTGATGTAATTTCATGAGAGGGGACAGACCTAGCATCCTGTCCTTTTAGAAGACACACTATTTCAAGGAACTGAGAACAGCAGTTGTCTTCAGCTGGCATCCCGGGTTGTGTACTGTTCTCAGCGTTTTGATGACTTTCTTTGGGAACTGGATTAACTCTGGGGCTGGGGGACCGGAAGACCTGAGAACCAGATTCTGGGTGATGATGAGTTTGATAAGAGTCTTGCCTAAGTGACTAACCAACTACCCAAGTCTACACTTCCAGAGCAGGCGGAAACTAACAGCCAGGTAGAAAAGTTGTGGAATACAATAAATATGGGTAAAAAGCAAGGAACCAGAACGAGGTGACAGGAATTTAAGTGTTAGCTGAAGCAAGCTCACGGAGCAGGTGGAACCTGGAGTTGGACAGGAGGGGCGGAACCGAGCGCCTGGCCCAGCCATGCACTGCAGAGCAGGGGCAGAGGACACACCCTAGAGGCAGACCGGCTTCCAGAGAATTCTCTCACCTCCTCTCCACTTCCCCCTCCTCCTCTGCATGGTGGGGCTCCCTCAAGGTGGAAAGGGTTAAAAGTGACCATGAACGTGCTCTCATTCCAGGGCCTGCCCCATAAAGGCTCAGTAAGTGCTTTTTGCTATAATCCCTGCCCTTTGGGATCAAGCATTAAACACAGGCTCAAGACACTAAAACTCACTGCAACATAAAAGCTCCTGTTTTACCGAAACCTTGGTGAGATTGTGGCCTATGCGCATGCCAGCTCAGCAGCAGGCATCTTCTCATCATATCACAAAAGGCCCATAAGGCCCAGAGTGATGCTGCAGCTCTGCCTGACAAGTGGTCCTGCTGCCAACACGCCAGTTCTGGCCTGGGGCCATTTTCACTCACTGTTCTCTCTGCCTGAAAGGCTCTTCCCCCAGACGGTGACAAGGTTTACACTTTCATTTCATATAGGCCCCTGCTCAGACGTCCAGTGATCAGAGAACAGCCGTCCCTGACCTACCTCTCTCTGTGACATAGCATCTCCGCCACCACTGGGGTCCAGCCCTTGGTCCTTGTCCCTGCTCCCTATTTCTCCTGGCACTCCATGCCTCTGATGTACGATTTTGCATTATTGTCCATTTCTCTCAGTGGCATGCACCTAAGGGCGAGGATTTCATTTTGGGCTTTTTAAAAATCTATTTTTTTTCTTCCAAGTTTTATTGAGATACAGCTGACATACAGCACTATATGCTTAAGATATACAGCATGATGACTTAGGTACATCACTGAAGTGACCATCACAGTCAGTTTAATGAACAGCCATCATCTCATACAGACAGAAAATTAAAGAAATAGAAAAAAAAAAGTTGTTTTCCTTGTGATGAGATAGTCTTTCTTTTCAAACTGTCCTTCTCACTTCTTTCTATTGAAAAACCTAGCCTGGAGGTTTTTCTCTCTCTATCACGGAAAGGCAGTTACTGGCCAGCTCCGTATCACTATCATACAGACGCAGAAGATAATGCACAGTCCATGCAATGTAATGTGGCCACACCTGCTAGGTGTCTGGTGGAAAGTGTTCCAGGTGGATAGAGGGAAAGGGCAAAGGCCTTGAGGTGGGAGCAGGCTGGTGAGGCTGGAGTGGAAGTGCTGGGGATAAGGGTGTAAGAGAGGATGATTCCAGGGTTTTTGAAGTAATGAAAGAATGGAATTGACATTTGGTAATATGAGTTAAATGGGCTTCTCTGGTATCTCAGTGGTAAAGAACCCACCTGCAATGTAGGAGACATGAATCTGATCTCTGAGTTAGGAAGATCCCCTGGAGAAGGAAATAGCAACCCACTCCAGTATTCTTGCCTGGGAAATCCCATGGACAGAAGAGACTGTCAGGTTACATATTCCCTGGCATCACAGAGTTGGACACGACATGTCGACTAAACAATAGTATGAGTTAGGTAGGGAGAGAGTCAGGTTTTGCCTGTAAGTTTTTTGATGATTTCAGGTTGGAAGCACCTGGCAGATCCAGCAGTAACCCAGCTGCTTTATATATATTATCTCCACAGCGCAGATAAGGAGATCGAGGCTCCAGAAGTCAGGTGTCCTTGGGTCTCAGAAGACCTTTTACATACTTCTCACGTATGTGGAAGTGTTGAGATTTGAATCCAAGCTGCTTTTCCAAGGGTTTGTCACTGAAGAAGGAGCTGAGAGAGGATTTGCCTGAAGGTGGAAAAGTCACTACTGTTGTGGATAAGGTGAGCTCAGACCCCCTTTCCAAACACTGGAACACCAGGACACAGAGGTTCCTTCTGTAGCTGGACTGGTAAGCTTAGGGCCAATAAGAGGAAGCACCACATCACAAGAGCGTTCGGCTGCAATCCCTTTGGCCTCAGCCAGGTGGAGAGCAAATCCATTTCCACGTCTGTTCGGCTGTCGCATGATGCCAAAACAATGGAATGAAATGTGGAAGATTCGATTGGGGTTATTATCATGGGTTGCACTCCAGTTTTCTTCATATTTTAAAAGATTTGCTCACTGTACATACAAAGTCTTCACATAAGGCATTTACTACTAATGTAACTGACACGCCTTTGAGGGCCTTGACCTGCCCAGCATGACCTGCAGACCCGCGGCAAACTGAGGGCTGAGACGAAAGCAGACCCTTAGGTCCCACCCCAGACGCACTTGAGGAAGATGCCCGAGGGATTCGTGACGTGAACGTGTTCGTCAGTCAGTCGTGTTCAACTCTTTGTGACCCAGTGGACTGTAGCCCACCAGGCTCTTCTGTCCATGGAAGTCTCCAGGCTAGAATACTAGAGTGGATAGCCATTCCCTTCTCCAGGGACTCTTCCCAACCCAGGTATTAAACCCGGGTCTCCTGCATTGCAGGCAGATTATTTACCGTCTGCGCCATCAGGGAAGCCCAGAGGGATACATCTGCTCCGTCTAATCTGAGAAGCCCTGGCCTAGAGCAGGAGTTGACAAACTCTTTCTGTAAAGGACCAGACAGTAAACGTTTGAGGCTTTGCCTGCCTGTCACTGCTGCTCAGTTCTGCCATCTGTAGCACAGATCCAGCCACGGATAGCATAGAAGGAAATCAGTGTGGCTGTGGGCTTTATTTAGTTTACTTCTTGATGTGGACCATTTTTAAGGTCTTTGTTGAATTTGTTACAACATTGCTTCTACTTTATGTTTTAGTTTTCTGGTGGGATCTTACTTCCCCACCAGCTATTGAACCTATACCCCCT